ACAATGAATTTGAATTTAGAATATTTATTACCCTAAAAATGAATCAAGATTCGTGCTGCATAAAAGTGATGTGTATGTACATTTTCTTAACATGCGTTTATTTGCCTGCCCTTTTCATCAAACACATATTTGGAATAATGCTTTAATTATTTTACCTTTTCAATCAATTTTCATAATTTTATTCGCCCATAATTTCCACTATTAAATCTATTAAAGTGTTATAGTCATAAGAAATGTATTATCTGTTTTTTTTTTCTTAAAATTAAAATAAAATTATAATATTTACAGCAAATTTAAAATATATATATTTCACACTAAAATAATCATGTTAATGACCTATGAACAAGCCAACAATGTATTCGTATGCATGCGTTAATAGCCAAATGGAAATTATGGGAAAGAAAACTTATGAGCAAAACAAAATAAATGAAATTGAAATTGTCAAGCCTAACAGAAATTAAATTAAAGTATTTGTTCGCTTATCAGAAGGTAAAGTCATCACTTCATTAGGTTGGGAAATACAAGAAATTTATTTCATTTCAAATAATAATAATAATAATTGATACGCAACCGATAAATTTTCATCATCTGGCATGAATCTCGATGCAGTTTTTTGAAAAAAAATATATTCAAACTTTGATTAAGAGTCGTCTGGAACTCTGATTTCAGCAAACTTATACTCAAACTGATCGGCTCGAAGAGATAAGCTCCAATCCGAGTCAAATCAAGCCCGGATCAATTCATCAAACCACTCTTGGAGGATTTTCGGAGGCATTTGAAAGGTTAAACGGATGTCGAATCTAACGAGTTTATAGTCGAATCGAGCGTCTTAACAGGACGAATCCAACTAGCCCAAGATTGCTCAATTCCGACATAGTTAAGCGACTCAAATGTCCATCAAATGTCATCCGATCAACAGAAGCTCTCCGGACCGTCTGATCAAAATTGTTCATATTCATGCATTAATTGCACTCAAAACACTATAAATAGAGTCTCGCCCCTCACATGACGCCCCTCACATGAAAGGGAGAGGCTTAAGAGAGAACTTGAGGCTTTGAGAAGGAGCTTAAGTCCTTGAGAAGGCTCAAGTTCAAGATCATCCTCGCCATCGTCAATCGTCGTCGACCACCACTGACCGTCGACAACCACCGCCAACCACCGTTGATCGCCGCCGATCACCGCTGACCTCTATCGACCATCGCCGACCTTCATCGACTGTCGTTAGTCATCGCTGACCTTCGTTGACCACCGCCGACCGTCATCGATTGTCGTCGACTACCGCCAATTATCGCAATTACTGCCGACCTCCGTCAACCACCGCTGACTAGACGTCGTCAGTCGACGTTCTAACTTGGAAAACTAGTAACAATTTCTCGTCTGTGGGACAAGTGACATCTGTAATCATCAACTTATAATGAATTTTTACAACTGGGTCAAGTCCTATGGTTTTTCCCCTTGACGAGTTTTCCACGTAAAAACTTCTGGTGTCATCACAGTTTGATACATTTTTATCTGAGTGTGTGTTGAATCCCCCCACAACGCTATGACGATAATCCATTACTCTACTACCGCAAATTTTCTAGCCCGCATCTATAATAAAATATAAGAAGTTACAAAAATACCATTTAATTTCCACGCATTTCAGAACTTTACACCTAAATTTTATTTTTTACATAGATATATGTCATCTTAACTAATGCTATGCTATGCACGAGTTAAATATTTTTAAGAAATTTATTATGAGAAAAGAACTTCGTTCATGTAAAAAAATTAGTACTGTTTAAACACTTGATGTGAAATGAATAAAAAATGAAATATTTATACTCATCAAATAAATATGTTTGCAATTGCATGCCACAAGCATTTGAATAGATGAACAAATAAAATTTTTTAGGACTATCAGTCCCAAACTCGGATGAAATGTTGGGACGAGATTTAAATCTTATTATTTATATTGAAATATCTTTTAAATATTATTTAATGTATTTTATTCTATTTTTTTATTAATAATTTTAATTGATTATAAATTTTTATATCCTTGTACTCAATTAAATTATTTAAAAATACTACGCAACTCAACAATTATATGTCATAACGATCCGAACACGAACAAGTAAATTTTTGTTTGTGTTCGGCTCATTTGCTTAGCGATTTAATCGAACACAAGTTTTTTAACAAGCAAACACGAATTATTCACGAACAAGGAGCAATTTATACAATCCTAATTGTAGTTAACTACTTATCAAAAATTTTGGGTGAGTTTCAATATGAGGTGAGCTTTTTTCTTTTTGTAAGGAATACATAGCCTCTCTTGATGAGTATAGTTTAAAGTTCTATTGACCGTTCGATATATTCAATAACTCTGTAATAGCTAGGGTTGAGTTAGATTAATTATGAATATTGATCTATGCTAGGTGATTCGCGGCAGTACAATAAAGGATTATTGTCTTAGCATAGTACAAAAATCTGGCACACACTCAGATAAAAGTAAGAAACAATGACGACATCAGGAGTTTTTACGTGAAAATCTCATAGAGTGAAAAACTACTAGGTTTTGCCAAGTTGAAACGTTTCACTATGGGCTGATGATTATAGGTGCAACCTCTTGTCCCATAGGTGAGAAAAAACTACATAATTTCTCGAATTATAACGTCTGCTTATGGTTGAACCTATGGTGGGGAGCAGGTAGCAGTGTCGGCCTGAGACAAGCGATGGCCTGAGACGGTGACGGTTGAAAGGTGGCGACCAGAGACGACGCCTGCCAAAGGGAGTAGGCGGCGGGAGGATGGCGACGACAGCCAGAATGAGGCAACGACGGCCCGAAACGACAACGACCCAAGGGAGGCGACGACAGCTGTCGAAGGCAATAGCAACTGGACACAACGACTGTCAGATGGCAAGGATATTTGGGAAGAGATGACGACGACACGAGCTGGCGGTTGCTCGAGGGCGGCGATGGCGATCGGAGACTACGATTAACGAAAGGTTACGACAGTCGAAAGTGACTACAACGGATGAGAGACATCAACAACCAGAGGATGGCAGCGACAGCCGAAAAGAAAGGGTGGCGACCAAAAGGCGATGACGATCGAAGATGACGATGGTCAGGAGGCAGCAGTGGCAGGAAGGCAGCGAAGGGGGCCGGGAGAACGACATGGGCCAAAGCCAACCGCCAAAGAAAGCGGCGGCGGCGGCCAGAAGGCCAATGCAAGAGACTGGGCTAGAGCTCCCTCTCATGCGAACAAACTTAAGCCGATCAAGCTAGAGAGCAGACGTAAAATACTAACATAGATAAAAATCTAAAATATTCTATACAACCTCCATTAAAATTGAAAAAGAAATATAATATCATTATATTATATCATCACCCATACAAATAGAAGAATATATTTGCAAAATTATTTTAGAGAATAAACAAGGTATATTACGGTTCATATTCCTTGGAGTATGATCTACGAACAGATCAGAAATCAAAATTATTTAACTATTTTCTTTTGCGTTCATGGTTTACATAAAACAATTACTGTCATTTTTATTTGCAGGCCTCAAAAATGGAAAAGAAATTTAAAAATGCACGTGGCCGAATACTGTATTCAACAGTGCGCAGAAGCTCGACAAGCGTCGCAATCTCAGCTCGGCATACCATTCAAAACAATTTAAAATCCAAACATCTTTTTACCAAATTAAATTTAAGTCAAATTAGTGTCAATTAAAATAGCTTTTCGTAAATCACCCAACTTCGCCCCTTATCCGGGGGCACGTCTCTGGTCCCAATCACAGGTCACTCTAATGTAAAATCCTGGCCACTAAAAAATTGCCCCTATGGGAAATCAAATTTGGATAAATATAAATAAAATGAAGAGCCTATATAGTTCTCGACTGCTTACGCGAGACGATTTTAATTTCAAGTAGCCACAAATTTTTAAAATTGGAGTTGAAATAATTTAGGTATAAGAAAAAAATATTTCGTCCTAATATGTGGTTGACTGCATGGATAACATCATGTCATGACTCTAACAATGGAGCATTATTTCTGTGCGTGCGGCGTAGGTTATTCTTGAGTTATTTTCAAATTATTTCTAGATTATTTTAAATAATACCGAAATAACCCGTGATCTTTATTTTTTTGTTATTTTTGGGTTATTTTCGAAATAACCTAGAAGTAACCTGAATATAACTCAAAAATAACTTCGTCCGCACTTAGAGCTATGTCAGGAGTCCACACAGAAAAAATTTTGCTAACAATGTGATGCAATTCGTGCCATCGATCGTATTAGATGTAATAACTTTTTTTTTTCATGAAAAACTATTGGAGCTCAATTTTAGAATCAGTAAAAGCCAAAATAGTCCCCGATAAATTTAGTCCTAAAGTTTATAAAAGTAGCAAAATAATTCCCAAATTTTTAAAATTGGTGATAAAACAGTCCCAGGGAGGACTATTACAACACAATTTTGATATAATACAAGACTATTTTGATAATTTTATAAACTATGAGTTTAAAATGACACCATATAAATGTTCTCTGTAAATAGTTAGAGATTATTTCGATGTTTTGATTAATATAAATATCCTGTCGACATAAAATATATTTATTCTTGATGTTTTAATATAAAATTATAAAATTTATAATTATATTTTAATAATTTATATTTTGGTTGAAAATTATTATATATCGGGGGACCTGCTTCTTCAACTTTAATAATATTAAATATTTATTATTTTGTCAAAAGTTCTCTTTATTATAACAATTTTAAATCAAAATAAATTTTCTAATTTTATTTACATAAATATATACGCGGATAATAAATTCGGACTTAATTTTTTTTTTCTTCAACAATACAAATTTTTTGACGCCGTTTAATTTTAATGGTAAAAATATTTAAATTATTGTAAAAATTTTTGTGATAATTTTATTGTATAAAAGTTATATTTATATATACATATATAATATAATATAATATGCGAATTTATATTTAATAAGCCCGGTACATCAGGGGGCGTTTACATCTCTCCTCTCTTCTTTCGCTGAGAGACTCAGATTGAAGAGAGAGAGAGAGATTGGGAGGGAGCGCTGAGGAGAAACTCAGGCTGAAGAAGGAGAGAGCTTGAAGCGATCGATCTGTGTTAGAGAGAAGAAGATGTCGAGGTCTAGAGGGTTTCTATGTAGTTTTTCGGGGGCTTCGATTGATCTATTTGGAGAGCAGCGAAGGAGGCTGCGTGATGAGGTGGAGGCGGCGATAGAGCCGGAGAGAGGGGAGGAAGCCGTCGGAGAATCGGGGGTGGAGGAAAACCGGTGGTCGCGGATGCTTCCGGAGCTGATGGAGGATATCATAGGGAGGGTGGAGGCGAGCGAGGACCGGTGGCCTCTGCGGAAGAACGTGGTTTCCTGCGCTTGTGTATGTCGGAGGTGGAGGGAGATCACTACTGGAATGGTCGGATCTACTCAGGATACCGGGAAGATCACCTTTCCTTCATCTCTTAAACAGGTTGGTTTTCTAGGTTTTGTAAAAATTAGGGTGAATTTGGTGCCGTTTTGACAGGATTCTGTTTAGAATTGGGAAGATATTCGTAAATTTGCATTGTCAATGCGCGGATCTGTCTTTTAGCTGATTTATCTTGATTTTAGTTTTGGATATATTGTGAATTTACTGTATTTGGGGTGGTTTTAATTTGAACGCAGCCGGGGCCGAGCGAATTGCCTATCCAGTGCTTTATTAAGAGGAACAAGAACAACTCGACATTCTATCTCTATCTCAGTCTAACCCAGAGTAAGTAAATTATCCCTTTAATTTTGGGCTTCTCTTTGGACTAGTTCTATGGTTGTTGCCACTTGCAGTGCAAAGTTTTTGGCAAAGTTGACTTGATTAGAGGAGCGCAATCTATCTGTTGCCCTGTTTACTTTTGCAGTAGAATCTGCATAGACGATACTAAAAGTAGCTTTGAAGCGACAGAAAAGATTAGATTTTCCGTCAGCAGATTCATGATTTATTAAGCGTCTTTCAAAGATTAGATTTTGGATATTTTGCATATTATGAAATGGCTCAAATTAGGTAACGAAGTGGTTTTTTATTAACTCATGAGGTAGCTGTACCTGCTGGTGCTTAAAGAAATGCATGATTGCTGGAGAGACTATGGTTTTTGGCTTCTTTCCTTTCCCTACCTGTTGATATCTTTTGAAATTTTTTTCATGGATTAAAAGTTAGATTGGCTCAATCTCTTGTTATAGCATAAGAGCTTTTGTTCAGTGATTCTAGCTTTCTTGGATTGTATGATATATGTGCACAGATTCATGTACAAACCTTCCGTTTTGCTGAAATATTTTTAAATTTTTCCTTATCTTCTGCAAGTTTGTATTTTTATCTTGTTTTTTATGTAATGGTTTGAGGCATCGTATATTTGAATAAAGTATTTTGTGAGGCATTATTATTATGTTCCTTATGTTGGAGAAAAGCTGCAAATTCAATTATTTACGGGCGCATTTAAATGCATACCACCCAATTCTTATGTATTTATATATCTAACACCTAAATTTTACTTTTTCAGTTTTATATCACCTAAATCTTTCATATCACATAAAAAATACCACTTTTTTTAACTTTTGAAAAGTAAAATATGTCTTTTCATGCCTAAGAAAGGTGGTATGTATGTATAAATTGACCTTTAGGTGTTAGATATGTAAATACACAAGAATTGAGCCGTATGTTTGTAAATCTTCCTTGAAGTTTTTTACATTTCGATAGTTTAATGGATTTGTTTTTTCTTCCCACTCCCATGTCCCTTCATATTTCTTAAAGAATATTGCTATATTAAATGATAAAGATGGCCATTCTTTTACCAAGAAGTGTGAAATTACTTTTAATTCTTAAATTGACTTTATTTTTCAGGAAAAAAAAAAGTGACAAATGCAATTACAAAATTGTCATGCTCACTGTCTACACCAAACTTCGTTTCATCTTTCTTGTTCTTTAATAAAGCTTTCCTTTTCCTTAAAGTAGGTAGGTTGTTATTTTCTAAAGAAAATAATTGTCAATGACACGTCAAGTTCAAGGGAGTTTTATCTGATCTGAACTGTTCTTGAAATTTATAATCTTTTTGGAAACAATTTAAGCTTACTTGAAATAAGAAATCAAGACCTTTGGAGTATTTAATCCTATAATATTTTCATGTATTAAGAATCGTCAGCTGTAATAATGAACTTATTAATTTTTTGAATAAAAATTATTTGCCAAATAATGTGTTTGATGTATTGAGCTAACTCGAGTCACATTTCGTGTTCTCGGCCTTTTGACTTTTGATTAGAAAGTATTTGAGTTGAGTTTTGGCACAAATTCTGATTGATTTATAGTTTATTTTTGGGGATTCATATGAGCCTTAAAATAATTATGAGAAATTTACTTGCATACAACATAATTCTTATATATTGACATGTCTAGCACCCAAATTTGATATTTTCAGTTATAACTCCTCGATGTCTTACACATGCATTAAAAGGTGTTTTTCACCTTTGAAAAGATAATGATAGTGGTATCTTTGATGTGATGTTAAGGATTTGATTGGTATGCATGTAAATTAAATATGAATGTTTAAGTGTTAGATGTGTAGATACATAAGAATTTATGTTGGTTTGTTTTCACATGCCTTCATTATTGATATTTATGCGTAAGGAAATGAATGGAAGGATGCACTTTACACGCCTAGACCCCTGTTTTTTTGGTTAAATTTTATTGATAAGTATGTCATCTCCTGTAATAAGTGTTTATTTTGTTTTCTCTAATGAATTCTCATTGCCAAATAACTATAATTTCTTGCTTTAAGTTTTACAGTTGGTTAACAAACATAATGTTATTGCAGCTTTTATGGACAAAGGGAAGTTTCTGTTGGCGGCGCGGAGGGTTCGGCGTGGTTACCACACTGAATATATGATTTCCCTTGATGCAGATGATCTCTCTCGAGGAAGCATAGCATACATGGGAAAGTTGAGGTGAGACTTCTTATTCTGTTTCAATTTTTATCACAAATATTGTTTAAACCCCATTTGTCTTGCCGATTTTAGTCACAGTTAGGGGTGTAACTGAGTCAAGCTGACTCGTGAGTAGGCTCGGGCTTTGGCTCGGCTTGATAAGTGGCTCGTAAGCTGAGCTTGATGAACCAATAAGCAAAGCTCAAGCTAGCCCCTAATTTAACTCATTAGTTCATGAGCTAGCTCGTGTAAAAAATATTATTATAAAATATACTTAAAATATATTTAAATTCAAGATTTTGGTGAGCGTGTGAGACTTCCATTCATCATAGAGAATGGGGGCAAATGATTTGAACGTGTGCAATTAAGCGCCAACAATGCATCATTAGATAGGCGGATAGATACCAAAAATACAAGCATTGAAACTTTGGTGAATGTGCCTTTTAGTACTTTTGGTTTCACAAGTGGATCCCAAATGATTACATATGAAAGATTAAAGGAAATTGTACATACATAGCACTCAATACCTATGCATTTCCATATCTAACACCTAAACTTGAATTTTTACCTTGCATGCCTCCTCGCCGGTGCATGAAAAGATGTATTTCACCTTTTACAAGTTAAAATGAACGTATTTTTGATGTGGTATGAATGTACAAAGTAAAGTTAAGGTATTGAATGTGTAAATACATAGGAGTTAGGTGTGGGGTATATATATATAAATACCCAAAGTTTAAATTGACATCCAAATTCATAAAATTGCAACTTTCCATTCACCAGATCAAATTTCCTCGGCACAAAGTTCATGCTGTACGACAGCAAACCGCCGTACGACGGCGCGAAGGCTTCGAACAGCCGAGCAAGCCGCCGACTTGCGAGCAAGCGAATCAGCCCCCAGGTTGGCACTGGAAACTTTGAGATCGGCCAAGTTACATACAAATTCAACCTTCTTAAATCACGAGGACCAAGACGAATGCTCTGCACTTTACATTGCCCTGCCGGAAAGCCGCCACCACCGCCATCAGCAGCAGCAGACGGCCAACAACACAGTTCGACGAAAATCTCTAAACTAGAAGCGACGAGCTCCATCGTTCTCAAGAACAAATCTCCGAGGTGGCACGAGCATCTCCAATGCTGGTGTTTGAATTTTCACGGACGCGTGACGGTTGCATCGGTTAAGAATTTCCAGTTGGTTGCTGCGGCAGATCCAAGCCAGACTGCTGGAGGAGGAGGAGAAGGAGCCATGGAGGACGACACAGTGTTGCTTCAGTTCGGAAAGGTTGGAGATGACTTGTTCACGATGGATTACAGAGAGCCCCTCTCTGCTTTCCAGGCTTTCGCAATCTGCCTCTCGAGCTTTGGAACTAAGTTAGCTTGTGAATGAGCTGACCATAGTTGATTTATTGCTCTGTATTTCTTGTTGGTATCTATTAAAAAAAAGGAAAATTTACATATATACCATACAATTCCCATGCATTTACATATCTAACACCTAAAATTTGATATTTACATTTACAACACTTTGATATGCAAAACTCGTGCATGAAAATATGCATTTCACTTTAAAATTTTTAGTGATTGCGCCTTTTTTGTTACTGCGTCGTCGAACATTGAGTGTTCAATGTTATGTATGTAAATATGAAAGTTTAGGTGTTAGATATGCAAATATATAAGAATTGTGTGGTCTGTATGTAAACACCCCTTACAAAAAAAAAAAAAAAGACCTGGTTTATTGTATCCGACTCGATCTTCCATATTGGTTCTCATATTTGTTGCTGTTTAACGGTCGAACGAACAGTGGTGGATGGCATAGTAGGTAATGTTGCAGAAATTAACTTCTGATGTAATTATGTAAATTGTAGAATTTTTATATTTTCTAAAATAATTAATAAAAAAAATAATGTTTTCCAATTTTTTGAATTTCAAGAGCTCAAATCTTTAAATTTCTTCCTTGCAAATTGCTCTTCAATACTGCCTTCGATCCAGCTTCAACAGTCACTAAATCCTACTAATGCCTAAATAACCCCTTGGGTTCTTTTGTAAATATTTACTTTTTAAGGTGTTTTATGTGAAAACGAAATGTTTGAATTGGTAGGTATGTGAATTACTTCAGAAATTTTAGTTGAGAAAATAAGAAGTGCAAAGAAAAAGAATAAATCGTGATGAACAATGAAAAAGGCGGCAATACATTTTACTTCAAAATTAGTATTGAAAAAGATCAAATTTTCCAATAAATCTTAAATAATTCCATTAATAATTTAATATTAATATTATATCATTTCATAATTTTATAATGCATTCAGATTTTTGTTTTTTTTTTTTAATTTTATAATAAAATATATTAAGGGTTTCTTCCAAGTCGAGCCAACAAATTTGACAATTGCAGCCATGTACAAAGTCAATAGGTCATTTATGGCAAGCCGACGGAGAAACGAAATTAGGAAAAAAAAATCACGGAGATTAAGAAATTAATTACGTATTAATTAAATAATAAGCATGAGATCAGAGTTAAGCACAAACGTCTAAAGTATGTTTAAGAGCTGATTAATTAATTTAATCCAATATCGTAACGTGTGGTTGCGAATTTTATTTAATTTATATTTTTAGCCAATTGTTATTTATGCTTTTCCTTTTTGACTGTGGCGCCCAAAAGGCCAAATCGGCGGTTAGGACCATATATTATGCACATTTAGAGGGACTAATACAAAGAAAATTGATTTTTTTTAATTAAAAATACATTATTTAAAAAATTTGTTTATTTTTTTAAGAATATTAAAAACTAAAACCTAATTTTATGGGAAAATTTTGGCCTTGTAAAAAATTATTAAGAAAACGGTTATTATTCATAAAATCTGCACAAAATAAAAAATTAATAGGAAAGGAAAATAGTGGTTGGAAAAAAAATATAATATTGGAGGGAAATTTACGTGCATATCATACAATTCCTACGTATTTGTATATCAAATATTTAAACTTTTATATTTATATTTATATCACTTTGGATTAGGGGTGTAAACGAGCCGAACACGAGCGAGGCCAAGCCCAGCTCGTGTTCGGCTTGTTTATATTTCAAGCTCAAAAAGTGTGTTCGTGTTCAGTCTGTTTGCTTAGCGAGCTGAACATGAGCCGTTCACGAACAAAGAGTCATATTGACAACTCTAATCATGTAGCCATCAGATGTTAAAGGTTAGACAATATTTAAAAAATCATTTGAATCTAATTTAATAATTTTTATTCTATTTTTTTCATTAATACTTTTAATTGATTATAAATCTTTATAGTATTGTAGTCAATTAAATTAAAAAAAAAAAAAAAAACTACTCATCAAAGATATATAAATTGATTAGTAGTATTTCGAGCCAAAACGAGCCGAACACGAACGAACAAATATTTGTTCATGTTGTTTGTATTCGACTCGTTAATTGTTCTTCGTGTTCGGCTCGTTAACACGCTTGGCTCGTTAACTTAGCGAACAAGCCGAACACGAGCTTCTTAACGAGTCAAACACAAACTGTTCGCGAACAACGAGCTGTTTTGAAAGCATTACTTTGGATGGCATAAAACTATCCTTCTCGAAAATGTAAATAATAATGATTTTTTTAATGTATTGTTAATTTTTAATATTTAGATTAAAATTTTATGTAACTTGAACGGGCACAAAAATTACTAGTCAACTATAATGGAAATTATAATAAATTTTAATTAAATGAGTTTAGATATATTAAATAAGAGTCCTCAAGATAAAGATGAGAATATAGCTCCTCATATTTAGTACATAGAATAGATAATTAATTTAATTATGAATAAACTATAGAACGCTAACACTAGAGTATTTATTGGAGTTGCATATGGTTAATCTTTTGGTTTAAGTAAACATTAAATTCAATTATAAAAAATAAAAAATAAACTGTTGCCTATTCAAAATGATTTATGATTGTTCTGCAATGTTAATCGTAAATTGAACAAATATTTAAGAATTTATTTCGGGCAGCCATAGCTTATTGAATAATTTGCTCATAATTTGATTAAAAATAATTCGTGACTGTTACAAATTTTTATTTTTTTTAAAAAAAGTCAGATCGTAACCATAAAGATGACACCGCACCTAAATAAGTGCACTATAAAAACACAGTTTTTAACGTTTTGAAAACACATAAGCTGCCAAAACGCAGTTTATCCACACAGATCAAGTGCATTTTCAAAACGCCACCGCACAAAATAATCTGTCCCCAAACGAGCCCTAAATCTCTTAAAATTACAAACTGAGGAATTTCCCAAATCGTTACATAACTTTACATGATTGCTTATTTTGAGCAACTAATATACATACATACCATCCTATCCCCATTCCCATGTATTTTACATATCCAACACTAAAAACTTTTACATTTTACATCCAAAATGCAAATAGCTGCAATTTTTTATGGAAAACAGACTAAGCAAAATGCAAATAGCTTAAAAGAACCATCTATTACTTCTGTTCATAACCAAATCTTTCATATCAAAAAGTATGTATATATATATATATATGCATACATGTAAAAATTAAAGTTCAGATATTAGATATGTAAATACATAGAAATTGAGAGGTATACATGTAACTATTCCACACAAAAAAAAAAAAAAAAGAAAAAAAAAAAAAAAGAACCCAAAAAAGAATCCCAAAAACTAAATTAGTCCCCAACTACAAGAAAGCCATAAAAAAGGATTAATTATAGACAAGATGCAGTCATTGAAGTGATTGATTATAGAATAGCAAGACTATTATCATAATATTATAAAAACATACTCATAAATAACATGCTATTTTCAAAAAATTGTGCCCAAAAAAAAAAAAAAAAACTCAGGATTAATATTCTAACATTTCATGTATCACTTTTCTAGCATAGACCAAACATCAGAATAGTGGTTTTCTATGTAAATAAAATTGAAGAACTTCGCAATAATTGAGTGAATAGGGGGGCCTTCTGACAATCTGCAACCTCTCTAAGTAGATAATATAACTTCTTCCAAAAGCCCCCACAAGTTTTATACCAATAGTGATCCTAATTTAGAAGGCGAATTGAACAAAAAAGATGCACATTGACTCATGAAAGTCATTAAGGGTCTAAAATAAGTAGTTCTTGGGAGTATACAATAACATGAGAAACAGGTAGATTCACATAAGCAGCACACACACACACACACATAAACAACCCAATAACTCAATACATACTATCGAGAAGGCATTGTTTATTAGTTTACCCCATAGCCGAAACGTTATTTTTTACCGCGTAGTTTCACTCCAAGGACTCTTTCGAGTTTGTTGATGATCTGCTGATTTGGGATTGCCTTTCCGGATTCATACTCTTGAATCACCTGGGGCTTCTCATTGATCAACTAAAATAAAAAATCATATTCTCATGCAACTTAAAGAGTAAGAGCAAATTAGTCCCTTAGATTATTCATGGGACCATTTTTAGTTTCAGAATCTAAAAAAGTGACAATTTAGTCCCGAGGCTCTTTAAATTTGGATAAAAACTATTTCAGTTCATATATTAAAAGAGTTCGGGGATTAAATTATCACTTTATACACATTGCAAACAATCAGGAAGGCTATTTTGACATTTTTTTTGTAAGTAAAATTTATAGCTGAACTACTTGCCTGTGCGAGCTGTGTCTGGTTTAGCTTCTTATCTACTCGAGCTTGAATGAGATTCTTCTTCAGCTCGGTAGACACCTTTTCATCTTTTTTTTTTTTTTTTAACCACATTAATTTATGTTAGAAAAAAAGAATACATAAATGATACTCATGACAGGAATATTAAAGTTGTAGAGAAATACAAAGAGAAAGACATATAATACACCAACCATGCAGTGATGAAACGAAAACATAACCAAATCCATATATTGAACACAAGCATTGCCATGTTGGGATTGATAGCATTGTTATTAGAAAGTGGTTTATATATATATATATATATATATATACACACACACACACACACACACACACACACACACACACTGCACAATTCTTATAGATTTACATATCATTTTCATTTTAAATCAATAACACACAAATCTTTGACATGCATAAAATAATACCACTATCCCTAAACACTGGTTTTTTAATACGGCGTTATAAATATAAATATCAAACATTAGATGTCATGTTGTGAAACTTTGTCTATTGTGATGAACATGTTAATATAGATGTAGTGACCTAAGGGTGTAATATGTTGAGCTTGATGAGCTGACAAGCGAAGCTTGCGCTAACCTAATTTAGCTCGTTAGCTTTTCAGTTGGGTCATTTAAAAAATGTTAATATATGATATACTTAAAGAATATCAATATACAAAAGTTTAAGTGTAAAGTTGGTAAAAATTTTATTTTAAGTGCTTATATCAAGTGATTCCTTAATGTTTCTCGTCCACTTTTTCTTTTTGTATTTAGACTGCAAATATGACTTCAAAATGCACCCAATCACTAAAAATGAAACCTTCATAACAAATGAAGTAGCCCAACTACTAATTAAAAAAAAAGCCAATATCCCCACCCCGCTTTCTCGAATTAACTCATGTATGCTTTTTACTCTCAACTTAAAGCAATGCAAGCACATGTGGCAAGAATTGAACATTTTGAGAATATGAATATACTTGTAAGAAATGCTCCATAAATTAGTACAATTAGGGATGTAAATGAAGCTTGACCGAGCTCAAGCTTGGATCGTGTTTGGCTCCTTCGAAATTGGATTGTGTTTAAAATTGCATGTGAACAGTGTATTCGTGTTGGGCTCGATTTACATATTCTTGTTCGTGTTCGGCTAATGTCGGCTAGAAATATAATTGTTTAAAATAATTAAAAAGTTAGATGTAGAGTGTTAAACTAAAACCTGTATTAATTTTGTGCAATAAAAGGCTCGGAACCACATGACCACACGAGCTGTTATCATTTAAACTTAGATATAAATATTTATAACATATTATAATATAAATAATATACATAATTTCTTTATCTCAGGTTAAAACGAGCCAAACATTTTCGAACAAAGAGTTGTTTGTGTTCAGCTCAGTTATACTTCAAACTTAAAAAATTTGCTCGTATTCGGCTCATTTACTTAACGAATAATTAAAACACAAGCAAAATAACTCACTGTTCCCGGACAATAAGTTTTTTTTCTACAGCCCTAAATACAATGAGATTTAAGCTAAAATCATTTGGCAAGACTGAACAGGCTTGAGTGAACTGCTGCAACAATTGTGGACTTGGATTAGCTCTCCTCGCAAGAAAATGATCTTGCCTCTAGAAACAAAAGAAATTTATATGCATAACACACCATTCTTACGTCTTTACACATCTAAAATCCAAAGTTTGATATTTACACGTATAATACCTTCATCTCATAAACTTAAGCATAAAAATATGTATTTCACTTTTAAAAACTATAGCAACAGCAGTATTTTCTAAATGATGTTATAGATTTGAGTGGCAGACATGTACATATGAATGTTTAGGGGTTAGATATGTAAATACATAAGAATTGTGTGGATGTACATAAATGCCAACTATAAACAAATGAGCAAGCCAAACCAAAGAAAGTAGCTCTAAGCCTTTGAGCTTATATTTTTGAATGATCTTAAACCATACTACAAAGATACGATGAAACCATTGCTTCTGGCTTGTAAATTTCAGAATTATGATCCCATCAGACATCAAATAAAGCCTTTAAGTAAGAAACCTTGTTTAAAAATCTTTCTAAATTAATGAATTCCTTCTTTGCATGCACAAAGAACCAATGCATATTTCATGACAAGTATATCATGTTTGAGCCATACATACAATGGTATCCCCTTCCATTCTAAAATCTAACAAATAAAATTTTGGAAGATTTACATACATACCGATCAGTCATATGTATTTACATATCTAACACCTAAACTTCAGCTTTTACACACATGCCACATTACCTATGCATTAAAGGTATATATGCCACCATTTAAAAGTCAAAAATGTGGTATTTTTTATGTGATATGAAAATTTTGGGTGGTATAAACATAAAAAGGTAAACTTTGAGCATTAGATATGTAAACACATAAGAAATTGGAAAGAATGTATGTAAATTCCCCATAAACTTTAAGCAAGCTAAAGATTAACAAACTAATTCTACAGGAATAATCGAAGATAAAGATACAGATTAAACTTCAAATTACATAAAAGTAACTTACGAGAAAGGTTTTCAGTTTCGTCATCAAGCTTTCTTGTGTTCAACGTTGTGCTACTTGAAGCTGCTTTGTTGCTGCCAGCATTAGCTACAAAACAGCAAACAGAAATAAATCTTCCAGAGGTCACAAAAAAAATGGAATCTTCATCATCTCAAACCACTTAACATACATAAGAACACAATTAAAACAAATAAGAAAAAAAGAACAATTCGGGTCGTATAAGAACAAAGAAGCATTCAAGATTTCATCCATCAAACCTCCAGCATAAGAAATCGATTCTCTTTATACCCGCCAAACAATCCAAATCAGAACGATAAGCTGAATCCATAGAACTCATCATCTCCCACCTAATCGAAATGACAATCCTCAAAGCAAAAAAAAAAAAAAAAAGGCCTAACTGCTGACTATGGTAACCAAATCAATCAATATCGGTTTATCGACATGCCGAATAATCACAGGAAAGAATCAATCGACTCAAAAGAAAATCGGTAGAAGCGCTCCATTAACGCGAAGAATGGATGAGAAGGAGCGATGTTGAAGCTACTCACACTTCTTCAAGGTCTCGATCTCCGCCCCGCTCCGGCGGGCGGCGTTGACGGCCTTCTCGTCCTTCTTGGCAGCTGCGTTTGGTGCTTTCTTACGGATCACAACCGGCTCCCAGTCCTGCGTGATCGGACCAATTCCAGCCATGGTAGCTTTCTTGGGAAGGAGGAAAGTATACGTATTTCTGGTTAGGGTTTTCGAGGAAAGATGCCTGCTTTTCTCGCCACGGAGATGATGGTTGGAGCCCAATGGATTGATAGATATATTGTCTTTGTGGGCCATTTACATATAACTTCACTCATTCATATGTATTTACGCATTTAAACTTTCCTTTTTATATTTATACCCCTCAAATCTTTCTTATTACATAAAAATATCATTATTTTAATTTTGATAGATTTACGTATATAAATTACTGTAATCGAGCTGAGCCGAGCTAATTATTTCATTGATTGAATTTGACATGGTTGAATCATAAGTTGTTCATGTTCAGTTTAAATTTGAGCTGAAATTTCACATATATTTTCATACTTAACTTATTTAAAATTTTTAATATGCATAATAATTTGTAATTAAATTTTTTATATTAATTGAAAAAATTAAAAACTCAAATGAGCACTTAATTTTTTTATATAAAATTTATTTTTTTATTTGTATTTGATTTTACATATAAAACTAATAAATAAGTTAAAAATTCCATTGAGTGCTTACTATTTTATATAAAATTATTAACAAATAATTGTACTAATCTAAATAAGTAATTGAATTTTTAAATTAATATTTAACTAGTTTATATTAAATAAATAAAATAATATTTAAGTTATAAGTAAGTTTTCTCCTAATCAAATAATACTGGTAAATAACTAACAAATTGGGTCGTTGAAATAAACGAACTTGCTCACGAACATTAGTAAATAAGTTGGATTATGTACATATTTAATTCATGTTTCAATTAATTTTGTATAATTCAATTAAATCACACCCCTAACTGTCACATTAAAAATCACTCTAATTGGGTGCTAGATATGTAAATAGAAAGAAATTGCGTGCTAGTTATGAGAATATAATTGGGAGGGAAACGATATTGTTCATGATACGACCATCTATAGAGGATCCGAAAGTTTTAAGTAAGCTAAATTAACTCTTATAACAAAAATTAGATTTATGTTGCCTGATTTGGGATAACTTTTTAACCATTTAAGAAGAAAAATGTTCTGAAAAAGGACATGTCTGAGTTAATTAAAATAATTTCAGAAAAAAATTAAGATGAACTTTAACTAAATTGCATGGACTTTTGTTGCTAAACTTATTTTTTTTTAATCATAATATAATATTGATAGTTATTGATTTTACCAATAATATCATAGTTAACAAATGAAATTTTGCCAACCATATTTGACAGATTTAATTTAAAATTATGGATTAAAATTTTATGCAAGAGGTGTACCAAACAAAAATAAAGAGAATTTTACATGCATACCCCATAATTCTTATATATATATATATATATATATATAGATTTACATACCTAAACATCCAAACTATCATAAAAACAAAAAGAAAAAATATTGGCTTTTGCTTGAGCCTTATGTCAGCCTTATGTATGTATGTTGAGTCATACACGAGCCTTATGTATGCATGTTGAGTCATACACGAGCCTTATGTATGTATGTATAGGCATTAGATATACAAATACAATAGAAGCTTGTGATATGCAAGTAAATAGACCATTCATGTACCATCTTCTGTTAATAGAGAGAGAGAGAGAGATTTATTTATATGCATATTTAAAACAGAAAAGTTCACACATTATGTGCAGATGAACATACCCACGATATACCCCCACAATCCACACACGAATTTTAAGATGAGCTTCATGCATGTATGGAATGGAGTATTTCACTTTTTAAAAATTAAAATGGCAGTATTTTTTAACGTAATATGAAAGATTTAGGTGGTATACATGTAAAAATGCAAAGTTTAGGAGTTATATATGTAAATACATAGAAATTAGGCTGCATGTATGTAAATGCCACTGCAATCTAATGCAAGCACACAACGCTGAATAATTAATAAAACGTTATAGCCATTTCCTTCGTTTCAGAGAACAAAGTATTCAATCTATACAAAAAACCAGCTTCAGATAGTATAAATTAAATGTCATATACAAATCATTATACTGCTACATAATTCAAAGTTGATATTAATGGTGGCGCTTGCAAAAAAAAATGGCTCTACCACAGTCAAGTTTCTCTGTTAATACCTGTGAAGTCCACCTGCAGTCTCAGTCCCCTCAAAAATCATAGAAATCAATTATAATCGCTGGAGTTGTCAATAACCATTCTAAGTTAAATAAATAATAATAACACTAATCATCATCATCAAAGGCATATTTTCTTTCTCCTAATAATCTCATGCCTATGAAATTATAGAAATTGACGTATTTCTTCTCCTTGTCTGAAGAAGATGAGGAGCTTCACTCTGCAGCTGCAATTTTTTAGAAATTATAATGATTTCTGTACTAAAAGCTATCTATTTTGTGTTCACAGGAGGAATTTTCCTCTCCTGCACTTTTAGTGGAGAGGACGGTCTCCCAACGGCTAATTTTCAAATCCCAGCAATTTCCCACCTGCTCTGGAGCAATATTGGAATGTCTGCCTTCGCTTATTTGTTCATCAACGTAATCCTCGATATCCTCGATATCAAGATAAGAATCGACGGTTTCCTGACAACCATTACTTTCGACGGCCTCGATGCCGCCAAACTCATCTCTCTCATCATCTGAATATTCTTCACTTATTTTGTTGATCTCGGCTTCATCGCTGGAACTGAAATCTTGCAATATCGAATTAGCTTTTCCATGATTTCTATTTTGCAAATCAGTCCTGCTACTTTGCTTTATACCGTTATTAGCCTGTTCCTGAAGCATGCAGTTGGCCTCAGAATAAAAGCCCTGATTTCCGTTTTGGTCATTGGTGTCATCGGAGAATGCTGCTTCTATCTGATGAGTAAGATCCATTGCAGTAGAGCGTGGAAGAACCTGTTGGAAAAATAGAAAAAATAGGAAACCAAATAATGGAAAAGAAAAAAAAAGAAACAAAAGAAGCAGCTGCTAGATTATTAGCTAGCAATGCTTTAAAATAAGGGAATATGATTCAGTTTTAGCTAATAAACTGGTTACCAAAATTCATGGAAGGAATAGGAACACTTGTAGACCAAGCAACGCAGGGCATTCTTGTAAATGATGGTATTTTCCATCAAAATGGAACAAAATACGAGGGCAGCTTCAGAAATATTAGTTTAGATTAGTTAACTCACGACGTTATCAACAAAATTAGCTTCAAATAGTTCCAGTTGTATTTTAACCACTAAAATTGGCATATATAAAAAGAGACCAATGTAAAATTAGTCTCTTGATTTTTACGAAAGAGCTATCTTAATCCCAGAGTTTAAAAAAAAAACCAAATTAGTCACCAGACGCTTCAAATAAGGGCTAAAATTGTCCCTTATAAATATTCAGGGACTAGTGTAACACTGAAATTCACATTAGCTGCAAACCCATCTTCATAGAAGGCCGAACAACGATAATCGTTACACTACACGATTGAGCTACTGGCCTAGAAGATTACTCGGATAAGTATTGTCGGTTCTCCATGAAGCCTGCCGACTCTCTTTAAGCTTTCTAAAAGAAAATGGAAGTTCAAGCCTAACAAATCTGCAATATAATTATCTATGACAACCAAAAGGGTTAATTACATCCACTCTTAGTTTTCTTCTACTTGAAATGGTATTTATATTTTTTTAGAATAAATAAGAAAATGACCCTATATATAAAAAAATAAAATTCACATACATACCATACCACACAATTCTTATGTATTTACATATCTACATCCAAAGTTTTATATTTACACTTATATAACAACTTGGTGCCATAAATTTATCATGAAAATTTGTATTTCACTCTTTAAGAGAAAGTGATGGCAGTATTTTTTATGCGGTGTTAAGAATTTGAGTGGTATGCATGAAAATGTGAATGTTTAGGTGTTGAATACGTAAATAGATAAGAATAGTGTGATATGCATGTAAATTCCTCTAAAAAAAGGAAACTCACAAGGAACTCTCCAGCTTCCGTGCCATCTGGAGGTTCTAGGCCATGTTGCAGCATATAAGGGATGGAGGAATCAAAATCCAAAAGTCGCAATGCCACAGCCGGAGTTGTCTCAGGAATCCATGGTATTACCGGAATTGGTTTAGAAGCACTGGCTGCATTACTCGCCAAATCCATTTCGGACCTTAGCAGTTCATTTGTTGTAACAAAATCTGGGTTCAAACAATCTCGCTTAATTGCATTTTCTAACACAGTAAGGCTCTGAAACCACAAGAAGAAGACTTGTCAAGCCAAACCACAATTGTACTAGTGTGATAATGCAAATAAAAAAATAGATTCGAAGTGCAATATATGTAAATGATAAAATCATTTGTACTCTAAAAAATTTTTGGACATTTCAGCCTCAACTCGTATGAAAAATGTCTAGAAATAAATGAACTACAATTAAGTACAAAACTTTCATAAAAGCTGTGATTTATGAAGCTGTTAAAATTACAGACCAAAGAAGTAAAAAAAAAAGTTCATCTTTCTTTATTTTACACAAAAGAAAATTCTTATGGACTAATTGAAATCGCAACAACCAATTGCACAATTGGATAGATCATAGTGTAAAAAAGTATAATATTAAGGCTCAGCTGAACAGGAAAAAATAGAGGGTATTATGTAAACCAAACTACCAAAGTGTTTACTCATGTCTGATATGCAGCCTCAGTGGACGTAACAAATTTGGCCAACATAAAAATAAAAATTACAAACCTCCAGGAATGTACTTCCATAGCAACAATGCTGCTATAACTGGGGCATAATTTATAAATTTTATTAGTGGCATTTACATACAATTCTTATGTACATATCTCACACCCAAACTTCATATTTACACATAAAGCGCTCATATTTTTAATATCAAATAAAAAATACCAGAATTACCACATTTTACAAGTGAAATACACCTTTTCATGTATAGTTTAAAACACTAAGGTGATCTATATGTAAATACAAAAGTTTAGGCATGAGATATGTAGATACATAAGAATTGCATGCTACATATGTAAATTTCCTATTTTATTATATGGAGCTATATTAAGAAAACTCTCCAAAACAGCTGTTGCATGGAACATAATTGAATTTATAGCTTTCAACATGAACATAAAACTACCCAGCATCTACAAAATAGGCAAACCTGCAAAATTTCCCTTGCAGATGATGAAAACTTCAATTCAACACCCCATGATTTACGATATCCATCATCCCAGAAGGAGTGAAAAGCTTCCATCGGAATTGAACACTATAAAAACATGCCAAAAGAGAAATCTAATTAGCACCTCAATTACCAATAGAAAAAATAGGATCAGCACAATATAACTACTTGCCTCAACAATTGCTAATTGTGCCTTCAGCAGCTGGATACTGATGGGAAAAAAGGGAATTGATATTTGTATTTTCAAATCAGCCTCACAACGAATGACATGTTCAGTGAAATGCTCATAAGCATTATTATTCATACCAACAGTCATGTGACAAATCACACAATGCCTTTCGTTAGCTAAGTATGGCTGGTAACATATATGGCAAGTTTCAAGTAACTGCTCACATCTTTTCGTTCCATATTTCATTGCACATAGCAAGCTAGAATTAAAGCACTCCTGCCACATCCATTTAGTATAGTTTACGTACTTTTTTGAAGCAGAATGACAAAACTCATCGTCGATATTATCATTAGAATTGCGATAATCAGATGTGATAGTAGTTTGTAGCGAGCAAATTGTAGGTTCTGCACGAAATTCTGTGTTTCTGAGCCTTCCAGCAGTATCTTTGAACATTATCTCGACTTCTTTCAACATAAAATACAAATTTGATTCCCTGATCCCAAGGGTGTCCAGGACAGCCAGAAGAGCATCAAATGCCTACACTAATGTTATAGGAACATACATTAATCTAGAAGTATAAGTCACTAAGAATTAAATAATATGAATATGACATGCTGGAGAAATGCTCTGAAAAAATCATTAACAGGAAACCATCTAGAAATCATTTTATTTTGACAATTTCTAGAAGGCTAAGTGCAAATAAAACATCTTCCACCACGCAAATAGGCGAGAGGTCAAAGTGCATATAATACTTCTCTCTTTATAATTTTAGCCAAAAATCATAGTTCGAGGACTTTCAGGCTCGCCTTCTAATTCAAAAACTAACAATAGCAAGGTAAAAAAAATTGAGGATTTCCTTTATTTTTAGTCTCTGGATGTATATTTTTATTTGTCGATTTCAGATGCGCTGCATTTTCCCTCTCAAACCGTGGAAGATATGAAGCCTGTTGCAGGAAAGGCTAATTACAAGATTTTTACAGGGGTAAACCATATTTTAATTATTATTATTATTTGCTGGGGGGCATTTATATATATACCACACAAATCTTATTTATTTATATATCAGACACCTAAACTTCCATATTTATAAAGAACACAAATCTTTCTATTACATCAAAAATGCCACTATTACAAACTTTTTAAAAGTGAATTACATCTTTCAATGCACATATTTATAAGACCAAAGTTATAAATGTAAGCATCAAATTTTAGGTATTAGATATGTAAATATAAAAGAATTGTGTGGTATGTATGTAAATTTCCCTTTTTTGTTGAATTTTTATTTGAATTTATTAAAAATCAGTTGCGATCTAATTTGAGTGAAAATGCCAAGTGTTATGAGAGCTGAAATTTGAGTCCTAGTCAACAGCCACATCACAAGTTGCCACTTCACATGCAAAATCCAACCAAAGCAAGCATATCATAAATAAGTAAATAAATAAATAAATAAAAGAATAATAATAATAATCAAAGCAAGCATATTCAATGCTCTTTTTGTGGATTCAGTGTGATGTTTCGTCTTCCAAGACAAGTACTCAGCGGGTTTAATAGTCTTCGAATTTTCAGTATGAGCACATAAAATCCAAAGATAGTTTTAAAATGATTGTAGTCTAACCTCCAATTGGTTTCATTGTGTTCTTTTGTGTTCTCCTCTCTATAATACTGTTCAATAAAAGGTAAATTTATAATGAAAGATAATTAATGATGAATGAAAATCTGATTTGGGACAAATATTTCTTACTTGGGAAAAGCTTGGTGGCTAATCATTGTTCCTTAGTTTGTTCACCTTGATCCTCCCTTCATTGGCGAGGTGTATTTTATTCCTATATTTTAATTATTTCTTGTTGTCATTCTTTCTTCTCATATCTCCATCGAGTATTTCTTACCTAAGGGTAATTAAGGCTACTGTGCGATTAAGGACAATTTGGTCTTTTGTCATTTATTATTATTTTATATAAATAGAGCTAATATATTTAGGTTTTTGGATGAAGTTGGGTCTTGAGTCTTAAGGTTTTGCTTTGGGAGAGAGTTCTACCTCTCGACGTGAACCACCTTCGTTACTTAGTCAGATAGGCATACAAGGAGAGCAATGACGGATCTGTGCGATGCTGCGCAACATAGCTACATGGAAAGAAATCTCTATCTACACAATACAATCGCGATTTGAGCTAGCTAGAAAAACGACGACAGTATCGCATTCAACCACAACATCCAACACTGTGGCGAGAAAAATTAACAGGAACACAAACATAAAGATCGCGGCGTACAATAGCCATTTTTTTTGGTCGGGAAGCCAATGAAAGGATCGTGGGATACAAACCTCCAGAAAAGGCGAAGGATCGTGACACATAGGAGTTTCGCGCTGCTCTTGATCGAAATACGGTATCAGGATCATGATGTAAAGAAGTTCTGCGTTGCTTGTGACAGAAACTCGTGATTAGGAACTGCGATGTATAAGAATTCATATTTTAGCTTTCAAAGTTTTGCGCAACTTCAAACAGTTCCAACGTACTCTGTACAGGAATTTTGGATTCACAACGTCCACAGTTACATAACACCAAATCCGCGTTTCTAATTATGAATCTCGTGATTTCAGAATTAAGCAGTTTCAAAACTGTCCGGGAGTAAAATCAACAAAAAAGAAGGATGCCTTGGAGAAAAAAACAAGTAAAAGAGGTCAGTCAAATCAGATATAGAATAGAGGAGTGTTTCTCAACCATTGAGGGGAGGTTCATAGCCCAAGAAGAAAAGATAAAGAAGATTTTGGAGTCCCACACATACCCTCCACTTGCAGCAAGATCGAGCAAGAACATCTGGAATGAATGTGAGCGGCAACGATCATAAGAATTGTACAACATCGAGGCAACATCGATGTCTAGAGTGGATTTAAACCTACGAGATCGGGTGAAGTAATGGGTAATTGAAAGAAATGACACGACATCCCAATGGTTGAAACAAGAGGCAGCTAACAGAATGATACGGGGAGTGATTCGGGACAGGAGAAGATCAATTTTGAAGGATTTCGACCTAGAATAGGGAACAAGGTGGGTGGGACCCCGACAAAGGGCTACATCCAATCGCAATAATGCCTTTTATTGCGCAACATTTCGGACACAAGACAATTTTGGAGGGGATGGGATAGTTGATTATGGGATGCACTAGAATTATGGAAGAAGAAAAATCAATATGGGTCGATGAATGGAACCCAACCCCCGCTTTATGAGTGGGATGAACTCCGATAAAAAAAATTGAGGAGAAAGCTCGCGCAAAAGAAAGTTGAATATGTCGATCTTTGAAGGAGATGATGCTTATGGTTGGGCTAACTGTGTGGAGAGATACTTTATTATGGGCTAACATTGGAAGAAAAAATTGAAGGTAATGACATAGTGTTTAGAAGGAAAGGCTCTAGCATCGTTGATGCAGGGCTACCTAGTGGAAAGAACCGGTTGGACCTCCTAAATAGGTCGGCCAAGGGGGGTGCAGGGTCGGCCGGTCTAGGCTTATGGCTAGGGTTGCCGCCCAAAGGGAGGGGCCTCTCTCTCTCTCTCTCTCTCTCTCTCTCTCTCTCTCTCTCTCTCTCTCTCTCTCTCTCTCTCTCTCTCTCTCTCTCTCTCTCTCTCTCTCTCTCTCTCTCTCTCTCTCTCTCTCTCTCTCTCTCTCTCTCTCTATATATATATATATATATATAAAGCCTCTGACGTCCCCCTTTCCCTTCTAAAGCTATATCCGATGACGAGAACAAACTCCAATTGTAACTTATCCCGAGGTGGTGTATCCTTTATTGCTCGCCTCCATCCTCCCCCGTGCGCTGCCCTATTTCCTGCGCCATCTCCTTCTTGTTTCTACCGCCAAGCAGCCCTCAAACACCCTCAATCTCTACAGACCAGCCCGCCAACGCCCCACCTTCTACAGACCAGCCCGCCGACATCCCCACTTCAGCCACCAGCCCCTTCCAGTCAACTCACCTGCTATCTCCACTTTTAATCTTCCAAGCAACTACTGCTAATCTTCAACCCTGCTCTCTTGCAGTCGCCCAACATCCAATTCCCCTATCCTACCTTAGCAACAACCAACCCCTACCTACTGTCTAGTCATCCTCCACCGAGTTGCCATCGTCTCAGGATGTCTTTTACGTTGTTATAGCTTATTTCCTGTTTTGTAGAGTCCTTGTTGTAACCTATTTGAATTTCAGCAATAATATTTACATTTTTTTAATGGTTTGGGTTAACTCCAATATCATTTGGTATTAGAGCTAGCCTAACCCTAATCATATTTTAGTGTTTTCTACCAATTTTTTTTTTCTTATTCCAAAACTACAGCCAAAATTGTACCTAACCCTAATTTCCCCTTACTCATTTTCAAAATAAGCAACCCTAAATCATTTTTTTACACCCACTTTCACCTCTCGACCTCAATCATGCCACCAAGGAGATACATGTCCGAGCATACCCAGAAAGAGATATAATGAGAGATTAAACGACTTCAGTGGAGGCTTGCAAATATTGAGGATGAAACTCATGAGGGAATTACCTCGATGGTGACAAGGAAAGTCGAAGAGGAGAAAGACTATAATTTCAACCCCTTCCATGCAGGGGATTTAAGTGATGAAGAAGAAAGACCATTACGCTTTGGAATTAAGTATCAGAGGAGACCAAGAGAGAAGCCCGCATATGGAGGACACAAACTTCGAAATAAAATTGGAACTACTAGAGTTCGATGGAGGTATGGATCCAAATAATTTTAGGTGGAACTACTAGAGTTCGATGGAGGTATGGATCTACCAGAGACCTTGTTGTAACATATTTAAATCTAAACAATAATATTTGCATTTCTTTGTGATTTGGATTAATTTCGATATCAATTGCATCAATGGAGAGAACGTCAGTCAATTCGGACATGGGAAGACATCAAGATCCGATTGTTGGAGCATTGCAAAACCACAAAAGAAGGGGGTTTACATGAGGTAATTTTTTAATTGGTCCAGGAAGGATCCATCGTGCAATATAAAGAGAAATTTAAGAGCGATGCTAGAAGAAGTGTTGAAAGGCAACTTCATAAATGGGTTGAAGCCAAAAATTTGAGTATCACTTTCGCCTACTAAGGCCACAAGAATTGAGAGAAACTATGGAATTTACACACTGGTTTAAGAAAAAAATACAATGAAACATAATATTAGGAGCAACACAGATGAAACTTAATAGCGAACTACTATAACCACAACGATACCAAAACTCAAATAGTAGAACTCCGGATGGACAACCAGACTCAAGCCAGTTGATGAGAACCACACGACTTGACCGAACAGTAAGTTTTTCCACTTTTGAGGACAATGTCTTTTATGGAGGGGAGTATTATTATGACAGAGCCTCGCCCAGGGCAATTTAGTATTTTCTAAACCTAAGGTCAATTTAGTCCTTCGTCATTTAATATTGTTTAGTATGAATAGGGCTGATATGTATAGGGTTAGAGTTATACATGAGATAAAGTCTTAAATCTTAGGTTTAGGATTTGGGAGAGATTTCCTGCATTAAAAAAAATTAAAAAAAAAATCTCATTTTTTTTTTTTTGTGAAACTATATGTCCGTTCCTATCAGTACTCTTAAGCTTCTTTATAAGTTTGTATGCCTTCAATCATTGGTTCTCCCCAACTTGAATCTTCCCCAAAACAACTCCATGTCAGCAATCAATCACACACACCAAAACTTCCTTACTATGGCACTCTTTTCCCAGCTTGCAAAGCCATTCATAGAATGCCTACATCCATAATATTTCTAAAAAGTCAAAATAGTCCCCTAACTATTTACGAAGGGCCATTGTATTCCTAGAGTATATAAGTGTCAAATTAATTCTCATACTTTGAAATAGTCCCTAAAAACAACTATTTTAGCCCCCATTATAAGACTCTAGGGACTAAATTAGCACAATCATAGACTATGGAATTAAAATGACTCCATGCAAAAAGTCTGGGGACCATTTTGATACTTCTCTTATTGTTTAATATTATGTCATGCTGAGCTCCAGACAAAATTAGTCTTCGAAAATCAACCCAAACCCCACATAACTTTCGAAGGCTTCAAATACGCTTTGAACAAGCTTACTGAAGTCTTGCGAGCCCCAAAAATCACTTCAAATGGGTCCTACTCCACTCTCTTACATCAAATAAAATCACTCAGCTCAATCATTGACTCAAAAGTCCGCTATCAAGTTTGCATCGAAGCATCGGCAAGATTAAATGATATACGTAAAAGAATCATAGTTATGGAGAAATATGCAGAACGAATAGAGCATTTTTAGTTTTTTAACATCATTAAATGTCACCGAAAATACAAAAATTAAACATTTGAATTTACATAATTTCTATATTATAATGAACCATATAATAATAGTTATAAACAAAAAAAGCTTGAACAGCAATATAGAGCACGATCAAGAAAGCTATATGCAGCAAATAATATTATATGATTTGGGTTCTCCGAAAGTTAAAAGATATACAATCAATGTTTTAACAGAGGTCTAGAATGAGAAATAAATACCTCATCCGAGTCAATAACTCTCCAAAATCCATATCTAGACTCAAAAAAGATTCTTCCAGAGCCTGGATCATTCCGAGATGAAGATGTTGAAAATTGCCAATATCTATTGTGCCTTCGATCTGAACCCAATGGTAAAAGTCTGTATGAATGTAGCATTTCAGCCTTCTGGTCGATGAACAACTCTAATTGTGATAAACCCAATGCTGGAGTGTATTCAAATTGCTCATGAAGAATACAGTTTGACTTAGAGGAGAATTGCTGCCCCAATGCAGGATTTGCACGTAAATAATCAGTATCGTCCATAAGCCCATATCTTTCTTCTTGCAGCCTTCTGTCCAATCTCAATTTTGCCAACATCATCTTCTTACAGGCATGTGCTTCTTTCAAGCGTTCCTGTAATATAGTCTTCAGAAAATAGCGTACCAATGATGCACACTAACAAAATTAGAAAAACCAAACTCGACACTTTGTTTTTGTTTTTATTTTAAAAACATGTTTTGTTTAATACAATTTTTGTATGTTTTTATGTTTTGTTTTAAAAAACCAATTAGCTTGTTTTTAAAAGCACTCAAAACATCTAAAAATTCTTTTGAAGTGTTTTTAAATACAACCAAATATGTTTAAACATATCAAGCATGTTTTATTTCAAATAAAAACATAAATAAATAAATAAGAATCCAGAACCTAAATATATGAAAATTTCATACCTCAATAAAAACATGGAATGAGTTTCCATCAATAACCACACCAATTAAAGCAACAAGCACTTCAAGACGCATCTCGATGCTCAAAGAAGAATACTCTCCTCCGGTCAACTCTCGAATCCATGATTCAGAGCATTCTTCACTGCTCTTTCCATCTCCAGTAGCACTAGTAACATCATGAATAGATTCAATTATTTCATCATTCCGAGTGCTTAAAGCAATTTCATCTTCTGCACTTTCAAGAAAGAAAAGAGAAACTCTATCCACATTTTCAACCCCACTTTCATTTATTAGTCCAGGCTCATCAGTATGTAAATTTTTATTTGATTTATTCAAAGAAGTTGATACTTTAGTGCTAACTAAGTTATACGAGCTTTCCCTGGTAAATTTGCCACATAAAGGATGTTCTGTAAAACTGTCTCCAATGTCTTCATCACTACCGGCAAGATGTAAATCCTCAAAATTTTCGTCAGATGCCTTTTTTCCAAAATGTGTAATCCTGCACAACTGTATGCTTTTAGTATCATCTGCTAATACCTTCTCAACAATGGAAGGATCTTTCCGAAAACAATGCTTTACACGATATTTGACTAAACCAGCTCTTTCAAAAAGCTCAGCATCTTTTGACAGAATATTGCTAATAGATTCATGGGCTGATTCCATTGTTGTAAATTCATATAATTGATGTTCCTAAAATCAGTTCAAATATTCAACAAACATTTCATGTTAAAAAGATATCAAATGGTTTACTTCGAAGAAATTTACCTGGATGTAGTCTGTAACCTCCATTGGTGTTAGTCCTTCAGTTCCCGCTAGGAAAAGAGCATGGAATACGGCAAACACCAAAGTTCCAGGAGTTACCTGATAGCTACTGCCACAGGAAGAGCTCTTATCTTTGTCTTGCACAAGAACAGAATTACTACCAACATGTTTATCTAAACTTGAAACCCGATCACCAGCATTGACAGTCTGCTATAAAAATGGCATCTTTCCATCATAAAGAGCGATAAAAATTAGTGCATTTACATACATGGCACACAGTTCTTATGTATTTACATATCTCACACCTCATATTTACACACACATAGCACTCAAATCTTTAATATCACATTAAAAAATAACACTGTTACCACATTTTAAAAGTGAAATACACCTTTTCATGCATGTTTAAAGCACCAAATTGCTTATGTATATAAATATAAAATTTTGGGTGTGATATGTAAATACATAAGAATTTTGTGCTATATATACATAAATTTTCCAAAAAAGCAGCTTCAATATGCCATATGATAGTCAAGAGCTCTTTTAAAGATGAGCCAAATATGAACGAGTAAAGTGCTAACTGTATAAGTTTGGCAACAAAATATTTGCTATTTAAGCCTATTCCCACAATAAAGACCACACCTTTAGTGGCTTCTCACATAGTTCGAACGAAAAGTAGAGAACGATCATTGGATAATTTGTCATTGAAGTTAATTCCTAGAAATAGATTTGGTGTCAGGCCCTTGGAAGTTCTAGCTTTCTCACATGTAAAAGTTTTTCATCCAAAAAAAGGATTTGAAAATGAGAGAAAAAGGAAAGCCCGACCTTTTCAGCTTATCATTTCTACTAATCATGTTCATTAACTTGTACACGAGGAAAATCCTTATTTTTTACCATTTTTTTCCAGAATTACATTCATCATTTTTTACTTTTGTACTTTTTTTTAAAAAAAATTCCCAAGTAATTAAAAGCATAACTTGAAAAATATCAGTCCTATAGAATCAAAGCTTTTCATCTTTTATGTCCCTTAAATTCATATTTTTCCCTTGATGTGTTCTTTATTAATATATACTAAAATGACACCTCATTCGAAATCCAACGTGGCACAGAGCGTCCCACAGAGCAGCAGAACTAGGCATCCACGATCCCGCTAGTGGGATTTCCACAATACCCGTGGAAATCAACTGTTTCTGCGATCATTGGGGAGAACCAAACACCGCAATTCCATCTCGTTATCAATTTATGCATGATATTCTTTTCTTTTTGATTGTTCTTGAAATTTTTTTTATTTCTAATTAGGGACTTTTCTATTATGAGACTATTTATGCATGTATTTTGTTTCTTTAAACATATTAATGTTGTTATAAGTAGTTTGGAGATTGTATTCTCTATTTTGACTCTTCGGAATATTGTATTCTCTTCCTTTTGAAAGTGGTTAGTTTGTATCTTGCTCGGGAACAGGTAGTGAACCTCCTCGCTACCCATACTGCATCGTTTCGTCATCTGCCCCGTTGTTTTCAGCTAGACGCCGTCAAAATTGCTGCCACCTGCTGTTCGCAGAAGGAAACTGCCCTTTCACCCTCCTATCCTACAGCAGGAAACTGCCCTTTCAACCATCCATTCTCCTACTCCCGTTAACTATCCTACAACTTCCCTAACACCCTTTTGTATTTTCTCACGCTAGAACAATATTATGTAGTATCAGAGCCAAATAAAACCTAAATTTTTCGGATTTATCTTTCTTGCCCCAATTCCAAAATAACATAAAATAAAACTCTAAAATATCCAAACCATTCCTGCCACAATTCCTAGCTCAACCCTAAATTTTTAAAACCTGAAATTACTACCTCACCAAGTTCCAATGACACCTACCACCAAAACCTAAGCCCGTGACCAACCATTGATTTGCAATCTTACATCCATCAAAACCCTGATTGAGAGAAAAGGACGTCGTGTCGCCAACGAGAAACCCTCAATAATGTGTCCAAAAATTTACTATGAAAAATATACAACGAGAAATCTTCTTACTGCAACAGAAGCTCGTCTCATTTGAGAGACAACATGGTGATACTACCCATAGCAATAACAGTGACGCACCAGGTCAAGGAGAGGATGTAAATCCCTTCAATTAGGAAATTTCTAGTGATGAAAACCAATATTTCATTAAGTTGGATCGGAGGGAAATAATCAATCAGAATTCAATGGCATAAATGGGACGTAAAGTTAAACTCTCATTTCTAAATAATAAGAATAGGCGTGAAGAAATGAAGCATTAAAACAACCAAGATATGCAAGAAAATAACCTCCTTTGTGGAATTACGCTCATTATTATTTACTTTAATTCTATTTAGTACTTGTTATATTTAGTCATAGTATAAAAAGAGTAATTCTTAGTTATAGGTATTTATGTTTATTCCATAATTATAGGAATTACTTAATTGTAGGAAGATTTCTTTCCTCGTTTTATCTCTTGTACACGCCTATTTATAGGTGAATTATCTATGTATTCATTGAGAAGAAAGTTATTCAAAATTCACATGGTATCAGAGACATCAAAGAAGAGAAGTCTTTCCCACTAGGCTCGATCACGGCCTTTCTCTCTCGCGATCCTCCTTGACCGAGCGCTGCCCTAGTTGTTCGAGCGTCGCTCCTACCGATCGCGCCTCTTCCGTTCGTCCCTATCGAATTCGAGATCGGCTTTCGCGTCCGCATCCGTCCGCTTCCGCGCTCGTCTCCTGCGATCTCCCGCATTGCTCGTCTCCCGCGATCACCGACCCGAGCAAAGCTGTTCCCATCCGCGCTTCTTCCGCGATCATCTCCAGACGATCTCTAGACGATCGTGCTTCTTCCCGCGATCTCCCGGATCGCGCATCTCCCGCGATCTCCTGGATCGCGCATCTCCCGAGCACAGCTGTTCCCGTGGTCTGTCGTCGACTCTTCTTCCACGTCCCTGTCGTGCTCAATGACTAAGCACGGTCACGCCTGCGACTCCTCCTCCACTAGAAAAGTCACTTCTAGCCACCCCTCCGCGGCTGGGTCTCCATTACCCAGCAATTCAGACAGTAATTTTGTCCTCATCACCACCCACAAACTCACCGGTCAAAATTACCTCCAATGGCCGCAGTCAGTCATGATGTTTGTATGCGGCAAAG